CAAGTTTTCTCTCTTATTAAAAAAACTGTCATTGAATTGAGGATGAAAACGCTTACCCGTGCTGTAACGTACCTGCTGTCAAATACGAAAACATTATACAGGTTGTGCTGAAGCCTCTGGATGCAAGCGTGTTGTTAAAGCTCAGTCGTGCACTTGTATTGAGCGCCCATTTACTCAGAAAGCCTGATCTCGAATGAAGAGGAGGCACGCGTTTTGTAGGCGTGGAGGGTGTCCGCCCTTTCTGAGCTCGCCATGCTATCAAACTCATGTAAGTGTCTAGCGCTAGAACTGAACAATGCATTTTTTTAAGTACACAATATGTACAATTTAGCAGTTATTCGTATCATTGAACTATAAAACATATAGCCTAGGCTACTCCTATATTTAAAAATCAGATTTTAAATATGATTCATAATGTAAAATTCAGCCCTTTCGTATATAATTCATTATAATTGCACAGCCATCTGGCCTTTTGTCCCCATGGCTCGTGCCGTTCTCGTGCCTAGCGCGAGCGGGGACCCGAATGGCCCCGTGCGCACATTTACAAAAAACGCGCCTTTGTCCCTGGTATTTTCTATTGGGGCTGAAGAGGTTGCTAAAATCATATATCCTAGTTTAAGAAGACGCGCTTGAAACATGCACTCCTTACATCTACCGTCCATCTAACAGACTGTGCAGATGCAGTTCTCACTCACAATATTAAAACAGGGAAGCTTTTCACGTACTGCTACGTCACAAATACGTGCACCATAGGCTAATCATCCTAAGGGAAAAACAAGTCTTTGTGTGAGAAGTTCCATCACCAGATGTACATTCATGGCTTGGCTTTTAGCTTGGGTATTTGAATTAAGACCGAATGTTGTTTGTGCTGGATATATTATTGATGGCTTTTGCAATATTTGGGTTGAGATTCATCTGGATGAAGCCTAATTGTTTGGCTGATAGACGCGTAATGCTCATCTTTCAGCTTTTTTCTGGGTTTTGATGGTTGCAAACACTTTTGAAATAGCTACATTTGCACTGTTGCTTTGACGTTGTTTGTAGCAGGACATTCTACGGGATTTTTACACTTTTACATATGTTTAAAGTGTTTGAAATAGAAGCAGGTTTGATAGAATATACCTAATCAGAAATATAAAGAACTGTGATATAAGCATTAAGATTTGGTAACACTTTACTATAAGGTGTCATTTGTTAACATTATATCTAATGTATTAACTAACATGAACGAACAATGAAAAATACATTTATTACACTGTTTATTAACCTTTGTTGATGTTAGTTATTGAACATACAGTCGTTCATTGTTCATGTTAGTTTACAGTGCACTAATGATAACAAACACAACGTGTTATTAATAATGCATTAGTAAATGCTGAAATGAACATTAATTAAGAATAGCCTAATAAATGCTGTAGCAATAAGTATTGTTCATTATTCGTTCATTTGAACTTAGTTAACTAATATTAACTAATGAACATTATTGTAAAGTGTTACCAAGATTTGTTTCTGCATCAACATTAGTCTGCAGAAGAAAGACATGTGCGATCATTTCGAAGACTCTTGCTCCCTTGATAGGCTAGCTTAAATTTAAAATGACTCACCAATGATTTTAGTCAATTTACTATTATATTTGAACTTTTAAACTCAACGAATTAAAACGACTACGCTTGCACAGACAAACAAATTTGGTCTGCAGTATCAGCGTGATGCTGAGAGAGACGCGCAGCTTTGCGCAACCCCGCATGTCCGCCCATCCATTCCACAAGCACTCATTTGGTTTTAAGTTCCAAACAACACGAGTTACGTAGCAGTATAGTAAGTCTATGCAATATTGCATGTCAACAGCTGTTTGCCAGCAGCGTTGGTTTTGGCTTGGGAAGCTTACTTTATTTGGGCTTTATTATATCTGTCTGCCGCGTTTGCATGTTTTTCAGGTGAAATAAACAGTATATGATTTAATCCACAATGTTCATTGACGCATAAGCTTTACAAAGTAATGTTGTGTACTGTTAGTTTTCTAACATTTCCCTATATCTTCAGAAGTGATTGTTTTGAGGATGAATTAGATTATTAAACACAAATCATAATTTATGTTTTTTAAATTAAATCTCATCACCTGGTTATAAACTTACATTTTTCATTCATCTAATGTGAATAAATGAATATGTCAAGACACAAAAGTCACCATAAATGACATTAACAAGCAATACGTATATTTAGATAATATAAGTTGATTAGTATATGAAAGCATGCATCACAATAGGCTAATACAAAGACCCTCGCTCTAAAAAGTGCATTTGTAAAATGTCTAAATGTTAAGTGGCTTATAGACGAATAGAGGAGCTCGCCAAAAAATAAGAGCCTTGGCATTTTACTGCTCAATGTGCTTTCATATTCATGTTTGTCTGGTAATATTGTATTTGCTCATAAAGACAAATAAGACAGAAAACCTCTGAGCGAAGAGGATTTCAAATCACCATCATACTTTTAACTAGAATTCTATCTTAACTGACCTATATCATATGAATCATTATTAAAATACTTTAAAACGTCTTTATGAATACTTAATATTAAACGTTCATGCGTAAAACGTAAAACCCATTGCTTCTTTTAAGTTTCCAGAGCAAGCTCTGTTGATTAGTTCTAAAGAATAGTGCTGACACTGTACAGCACTGTACATTTTTTCTTTTTTTTCAAGATTGTTGTAGAAACCACGATGTATTTGAACCGGAGAATAATCAGATTTGAGAGACTATACTCAGAAACATAAGGAATTATTATATATGCATTAAGATTCATCTTTAAATAAACTTTAAATCATTAGCCAAGTGCAACAATCGCGTTGACTCTTGCTGCATTCATACAGAAATCTAAAATATTTTTGACTCATCAGTGATTTTAGTATCTAATATTTAAAATTCTTCAGTTAAACTCGCATGCCATAAAAGCGACTATACGCATAGATAAACAAATAGACTCGATCTGCTGCTGCAGCATCAGTGTGAGGCTGCTCATTCATTCCGCACTAAAAAGTTCATACAGAATATAAATGTTAGTGTTAGATGGAGACTGTCATTTTCCAATTTATTACAAAACATTAAAGACAGGGTCTAAATCAACAGCTGAGGAGGAATAAAGCACACCTCGTGGTCAGCACTGTCAAACAGAAAATGAGTACTCTGATCATCTGTAGCCTACCCTTGCAATTGTCTTTTGTGAAAGACTTGTCTTTCAGGTTAACTAATAATTTATCAGCAAGTTTGGCCTGCAATTCATTGAATGTGTGTTATGATTATCAGTCTAATGAACCATGAGTTCACACTAAGACAACACTTGGCTATTTTTATTTTTCATTTTATTTCATTTTATTAATTTTTTGGACATGACCAGCACAAGCCTACATTGGCGGTTAATTGATGCGCTCTTGGAGACTGTGACGCGTGCCTAGTCCATTGAACATTCAAAAGCTTTTCAACTCAATCAATAGTTTTTACTCTTATAACTTGCATACCGTGTAAAAAGTAAACACGTTATTTAATTTTATTACACACTTTTAGTTTCACCAATCAGTTTGACTGCTACACCTCAGACAACAGCACACCAACAGAGGAGGCAAAAATTGTCGACATGCATTTTTGATGGTGGTAGGCCTATATGATTGTCAGATTAAATTTTTATGTGTGTTTCACCCTATTCCATACGTCCCCCATCCCCAACCCCCCCAGAACCCAGAATTAAACAAAGAGAAAGAAAAAAAAAAGAAGAAAAAATACAGGGTTTTTTTGCGTCAGTCCGTGATGCTTTATTGCCATATTCGGTCAAATGGCTCAGACACAGACGCCAATAGTTTAGAAAGACACGCTATAAACGAAGCAACGTGATAGGACGATAATATAGCAAACAGGTTACTGAAGAGTTTGGCAGTCTTAACTTGAGGGGGTTGGTATTCAAATTAGTGGCGCGCTTTGGTGTGATTGGTAGAGCAGACATCCATCTGTTGCATTGTAACGGCGCGTGTCAGACGCGTGAGATCGCAGCTGATTTGAAACAAGGTGTTTAATAGAACCACCGAACAGCTAAAATGTCTGGTCACTGGAAAATACAAACAGAAAAAAAACCCAGTAAGAAATTTTTAGGAAAAGAAACATGCAAAAGCGGTTTAACCTCCTTTCTATGTAAATAAAACCTTATTTCTAAGCCTACACTTTTTATTTTCATCTCTAACCTTATCCTTTATATATTGGGGATTTGTTTTTTAAATTATGTTGTATTCCAAACCTCCATACTCTTGTTTAATATGAACTTAAATACAGTCTACATCATTTTCCATGCATGGTTTTGCTATATTTTGGAGTAATAAGAACGTAGGCTATATATCGAACATGGTCCGAATGTAAGCAGATGTTGACAGTATAGCGTGGCTTGGTTAATTATCGCGCGGTCTTCATGCTCTGTATTATTTATATAGATGTCCAATATATGGCGGTTTTCCTTGTGAAATAAAATCTCTTAAAGCACAAATTGTAATAAAACAAATACAAGTTAAAGTAACCCACAACTTTAAATGCCTTGTAGCAACAACAACAAAAAAAAAGCAATAAACATTAAACCAAAATGCGAAATGGAAAATGAACTTGCATTTTGTAAATTATTGTGCTTCAACTTCCACATTTTATTGTGTAGGCCTATATGTGTATATGTAGGCCTATATATTTTATAAAACACTCTTCGAGACAATAAAAATAATCATCAGTCACATGCGCATACCAGCGGTTTCGGATGATACTGACATCAATCAACAGATGGTAACTTTTGGGACAGTCAGATCAGATCTTCTCCCTTTGGCATCCCCCTCTGCGTCCAACCGAAGACACAATAGAATAGAAGCCCTCCCTCCACGCCAAAGGGCCCTATAAAAGACCCCCTCACACACCCTGACCACAAAACTCTCTGCTCCTCTCTCAAGAGCACATCTAGAGACAGCTCCCGATCAAATCATGACTCCAAACATTATTACCGAAGCTCATTCCCACGCACTCGGTTCTCGAATGACTGTGGCTCAGAGAAAAGAGACACATGAATTGAGAAAGGTGAGGATGATTTTGGGTTCCTTTGAACACCCCTGAACCATTTTAACGGTTGTGCTTGCGGTATAAACTCACACTCACATTAACCGATTTCTGTCTTTTTCCAGACTCTCAAGCCATTGATGGAAAAAAGAAGGCGGGCTCGCATTAACGAGAGCCTCAATCACTTAAAAACACTTATACTCCCTCTGTTCGGCAAAGACGTAAGTATCTTTGGTACTTGCATGGTCATACAGTACTTACATTCAAATGTAGCCTATGTCAGTGTCTGAACAACACACTAATGTGTCCAATCACTTTTCGATAATTTTTTAGGCTTCACGCTATTCAAAGCTGGAGAAAGCTGACATTCTCGAAATGACTGTGCGGTTCCTCAGAGATCTGCCTTCCTCATCAGCTAAAGGTGAGTGATTTCATTTACTTTGGTTTTCACCATTTTCAGTCTAGTTGGCAACTGTATTTATTTTAACTGGTCCAAATGTATTTACTATTTTTCTCTCTCTCCAAAGGTCAAACAGACAGCTATAACGAGGGATACAAAGCCTGCTTGCAGCGCATCTCTGCGATGCTGCCGCAGTCTAACCTCGAAACAGAAACCCGGCAGCGCGTCAACGAGTTCCTCCAGCACTCGATGGTGTCTGCGACGTCCTCCTGCCAGAACTGCTGTGCTCAGAACTCCAGAATGATTTCACAAATGCACCAGAGACTTGTGAGCTTGAGGAAGAGCAGCTCTGCAACGGAGAACCACTCCATCAGTACCGCGGCAGCTCCCAGTCAACCTCAGTCTGTGCCACAGGCATCTGTGGACATGTGGAGACCGTGGTGACCAAACAGGCAACAGAAGTCGTCGGGGAAATTGTTGATAATTAACTTTGCATGTTATTTATTTGTCATCGTAGGTTTTAGTTAAAATGTAAAGCCTGTGATGGAGATTAGGCTACATGTAAAGAATTTAAGGAAATGTGGCTACTTTGTAAATGAAAGAAAGCCAGCGAGCACAGACCATGCTGTCTTCTATGAACATAACGTTATGCAATCCTCGCTGGGGGTTTAAATACTATGGGTTGTAATCAACAAAATTGTAAACCCCAAGGGTTAAAATGTGAGGTTTGCACAATTGACTTGATTTAATTTGGTCTGTGCAAAGAAATCGTAAACACTGTGTGTTAATTATTAATGGCAAAATGAATGTCCCTGAAGGAAGCATAATCACAAAATGTTATTGTGAATCAACAGAAGAATAAAACCTTTTTGCTTTGAAATTCTTGAAATCTTTGTTTGTTTATTTATTGGAAATGGCTTTTAAAATGTCTCACTTGAGGAATAAAGGAGCTAAGTTGTAGACGAAGTAAAAAAGATACAGAAATGACAAACAAAAAACACGTAAATATAAAACTATGTCCTTAAATAGGCACACATATGCATTGATCTGGATAAGAAAACTGGGAAACAACAGCAACAATTTTCCATTTAGCATATGTTATTATAAGAGGTCTTCGTAGTCTGAGAGACCATAGAAATGATCTTCACTTTAGCATCCCTTATACAGCTCCCTGCGCTCAGTCTTTTGCGCGGGAAACAAGGGTCGCCAAAGACACCACTTTAGTGATAAGTCTGTTTCAAGAAACATTAAGTGGAATTGTAGCTATTTTTATCAAATGAACGTTAGCATCTCTTAACGTCTAGGTCTTCTTATTGACTGAGGCATGCGCAAAGCTCCCTCAGCTTGGTGTTTTGCGCGGGAAATAAGGGCCGCCAAAAATACCGCTTGTTTAACTTGAAGTCTGTTTCATGAAAGCGGAATAGAAGCTATTTCTTTCAAATGAATAGCTATGTTGCCTATGTTTGACATAACACATTTATAAATGAATGACCATAAATCGTTGAACGGAACCGCTGAACACTGCTCTGGAAATTGTAAAGATAATAAATTTTTAAATTACTGAGCATATAGCCTATACAAAATCTATTTTTTTTTCATAAATAAAATAATTGTGTGCAGCCGCAGCAAAAGCCATAGTGCAACTGCTTTTTACAGTTCATCCACATTGAACATTGTTCAATAAGATATCAGGTTCAGTAATGTGTTTATAATGTGTTTAACATAATTCTTTGTGAAAACCACCCAAAGCTGGTTATAGAACATTGGTTTGACGGTCTTAGATCGTTTAAGCTGGTCTCCCAAACCAACAAACCAGTTACCAGACCAATCTGGATGGCCAGCAAGCATCAGCAAACCAGCATACTGTAGACTTGTAGATGCTCCCCCCAGCAGGGTGTTGGTGCCTTCTTTTATGTAAGTCTATGTGGCTTTTTCAGGTTTATTGTTGTCCACATGGGAAAATTCATAACCATATCTAAAAGAAAACAATAATAAAAAAATAAAATAAAATAAATAGTAACAATGTACTTCTCCTCAATGAGCTGTATAATTTCAGCCATGTCTGTACTATCCCAAACGGTGTGGAACAAGGCAGTTTAATTCATAGTGTCAGGGGTTTGTTCAAATCATTAAATAATGATGAAGACCCTATCCATTAATTGTCACAGTTATGCACATCAGAGAATCAGCACTCACATTCGTACTGACTCACTTTGTGTTCTAACAAGACCTCCAACATATTGATTGCATGACTGTAATTAGAGCTTGGCCAAGCATCATAATTACTGTTGATCATACTTAGGGATTTGAATAACTGCCTAACTATTAAGCATATGGTGTATAACTCAACCCACACTGCTCCCACTGCACAGGCGAGACTGATATCACAAATCATGCTGCTTGTTGAGAAGAGTTGAGCTATTACTTTGGTCAGTGGTCTGGCTGATTTGGTAAAGTTTAATTAAGACTTAAGACTGATTAGTTTCACCTGCTGGACAATAAAATTGAGCAATCAATATCCCATAGATTTCCATAGATTGGAGGGACCCAAGCCATATCTAGAAACCAGGGCTGCGTTTCCCGAAAACTTCTTAATGCTACGTCATTCGTAAGTTATACCTTAAGTTGTACCTTTACGTTAATACGTGTTTCCCGAAACGTTCTTAGTTAAGTATGCCTTCTGTAAGTCATTTGTTCGTAAGGTTAGTCTGGACCATTCTTAGCTATACCTTATCGCTGTTCACAGTTCACTCTGCTAGTGGCCACCACTGTGAAAAAACCTTCTTCACATTTCAGTCGATACGATTGTAATTCTGTGGCAAGAAAAAGTGCAGAACCAAATAAATATTACAATTCTAAAGTTGTAATACACCCAGTGTTCAATTAGTGTTCAATTAATTGAGTGTTTTTATTCAAAGAATAAAACAGTCATTATACTAATGGTTGTTGGTTTTTCCATTATAATATACAAAGGCACATCGGCTGGCAAACCATTAGGCAGCACATACTTTGGAGACGTTTTTATGCAAAGAATAAAACTGTCATTATGGTTGTTAGTTTTTCCATTATAATATACAAAGGCACATCGGCTGGCAAACAATTAGGCAGCACATAATTAAGAGTATATTTAAAGGGAATGAATGTGATGGGGAGTTTGGTCAAACTATGGCAGCGAGACAGCGAATAGTTGTCCTAAATCAAAGATGGCTGCGTCTGCGGAGCCAGTTAGTGTATGTGCACTATTTCATAATAATGTCAGAATAGCTACCATGTCAAAAGATACAATTCTACAAAAATGTAGCCTGCCATGGGAGCAAATTCAGCAGCTTTTACATCTTGTTGGTCAAACTTTGTAGAGACAAACTTGACAGAGCTACCCCCTAACCCCCGAAATTCAGCTGCTGGCGGCTTTCCGTTTTATGCTGTGGGGAGTTTTCTGGAGGTGGTTGGGGATGGATATGGGCTGAGTAAGACATTGGTGTGGCGGAGTGTTCACTACATCTTGCTCCATCACGCCACCGATTATACAGCCTACGTATGCCTTTCGCCAGGCACGAAGAGATGGTGGCACATCAAGGCTTCCATGCCATTGCGGGTGTCCCGTGACTAATTGGCCTTGTTGACGGGACACTTATTTCTATTTGCTGAAAATAACATATAACGGTAAACAAACTGATGGAAAAGAATAATCTTGTATTATTCTGTGATACAACACATTATTACCTCATATTGCTTATGGTTACTATAAGCTCCTGACACATCACAGAACCTATAAGTGAAATTGGTTAAGAAAATATTTTTCATGATAGTTAAAAAAAAAAAAAGAATTGACCAATGCAAAAGAGATTCGTGTCAGAATCTGTCATTAGTATTTCAATAGATTGTCTATGTTAAATATGTTAAAAAGGAAATAAAGACCTAGCTGTTTAGGGGATTTTTATTGTTGCATATAGGTTTTGGTGAGTAGCTGCTGATCCTCTTGAGGGAGGGGGTTGGGTTTGCTTATTGAAATGCTTGGGTCGAGTGAAGCTAAGAGAATAGAGAACAATGAGTTTGTCACGCCCATGGACTGCCCCTATGTTGCTGTCTTTTGTTGTGCTCCCCGTGATCCAGTTTCTCCCGTGTTCTTATTGTGTTCATTTGATTCAGGTGTGTCTCGTCTAGTACCCCTCGTTTAGTTCAGTATTTAAAGTATGTTCTGCCCCTTGTTTCCTGACCGGTGTCTAACGTCTATTCCCCTGTGCTACGTGTGTGTTCCTGCCTGTGAGTCTTTATTTGGATAAATAAAGATTGTTCTTTGTGATATACTCTGTCGTCTCTGCACGAAATGCATGTCTGTAGAAGAAGAGTAAGCAATTGGGTGATTTTTTGTTTTTCAGAATTTATATAATGAAGCTTGAATTGATGTCAAATGCAATGCTTACAAGTGATTACTGAAAACTTTTAAGAGAACACAGAGACCGTACAGTGAATTAAAACACCACAAAATTAACCACTGTCTTAAAGTTTTTTTTTCAACTGCTTACACACAAAATCTTTACTTGTCACACAATGTCTGAAAGCTGACACACAAACAGCAGAACCACACACCAAATCTGCAAAACCATAGACTAATTATTGGCCTTTGACTCAGTTTTCAATTTCATAAAAACACTTTTTGCAAAACACAACACACAATTCTCTATGTAACACAAAAATCTAACCGTAATAAATATTATTGCAAAGGTGTTTGCAAATGTTTGCTTTTGAGATGTGTTTGTGATCTTTTGAATGCAGTGCTTCATTTTGCAAGAGATGTGAGGCATTTTGCATTTTGTGTGTGCAATTCTTGGATTTGTGTGTAAAGTTTAGAAAAAAAGAGGCAACGTTTCGAAAAAGTCTGTAAGCAGTTGAAAAAAAAAACTGTAATACATAATAGCATGACAATGAAACCAGAAAATGGACAAGTACAACAAGTATATACCAAACTGGCAGAATGTACTTACTGAGAACCTTTCATCAAAAATGATTCAAACTAATATGTAACAGTTGACTGTTAAGAGTTAACAGGGTTAAGACTCTGTAAAAAGGATCAAAGCAGTAATTAATCATTTAGACAGATGATTCATCATCCCTCTATACATGAAGAAGTAACGGCATGATATGATGAACTAAATAAAGAAATACTAAATGACATGACATTATGTATCAACAGGGGAAAACACTTTTGGAAATGAATATTCTGTCTCTTGGCAAATTGAAATTGCTCCTGAAATTGGTACCATGAAGCAATTTCAGGCTTGGAAAAACAGAAACAAATCTTCAACATATGGTCAGCCCTTTCAAAAAACATATACAAGCCATCTGGCATGCAGCGTGAGGAAATATAGAGATGCAAACAACATTCAACTCTGCCTTTTCATAGATTGGACTCCTTTTGGTTTCAATTTTATTATTTTAATGAATTCTGAAGAACTGGTGCTATATTTATTTCAAAATCTCACAATTCACTGTTATGAGAAACACATATTCAAAACGATTCATATTGGAAATTGTTTGGCATGCACAGCATCAACAAGATGACAAAGGCTGAGTATGTCCACCATTTCATGCTCAGACTATAACCCATTATGACTCCTGATCATCTTTGGGCAGAAATGTGGACAAAAAAGCTAAATCCAAGCAAAAGCTCGCTACTGTCAGACTAAAGATGCAGAACTCACTGTTGAAATATGGGTGAATTTATCTTCAGATTCAAATTGTGGTATGATAAAGCAGTCACACTTTATTTTAAGGTCCAGTTCTCTCTATTAACAAACCATTAATTACAACTTTTGCCTCAGTAAACACCTAATTTTCTGCTTATTAATAGTAAGGTAGTTGTTAAGTTTAGGTATTGGGTAGGATTAGGGATGTAGAATTTGGTCATGTAGAATAAATGCTCTATAAGTACTAATAAACAGCCAAAATGCTAATAATAGGCATGCTAATAAGCAAATAGTTAAAGCTTTAAATGACATAAATAAAATTCAATAATATAAGTACAGGCAAATTTATACTACATGTATATGTGGTGAGGAGTCAGAAGAGTTTGGATCCATGTGCAGCTTTGTTATAGAGTAGTAGTCAGACAATACAGGGTCGATCAGCAGCAACAGCAACGGTAGAGGCAAGGCAGAGTCCAGAGAACAGGTAGAAGGTCTATATATATATATTGTGGGTGTGGTCAGATGCAGGTGTGTGGGTGTGGTCAGTCCCAGGTATGAGGGATGATGGGAAACGAAGTCCAAATGGGAAACATTCAATATTCGGGAGAAGGTTCCCTCTGGTTGTGCGGAGGAGGCGGTACCGGAGCCTCTTCTGCAACAGTATACAACATAGGCGGCCTGCACTAATTTCAAATAATGTGGCATGAAAATTCAAACGCAGCATCAGAAAGCTACATTAACTTACATCGTGTCTACACTGGACACGAGCGGCGCGGCGCAATAAAATACAATAGAACTCGTTATAATCAGTGATGCTGTCTTGGATGCGGCGCGACACGACACGACAAATTCCAGACAGTAAACTGCTGACTCTATTTATAACGTACTGACTGACACAACGTTCAAATGATTTGCAATGCTTTGTCGCGTCCAGTGTAGATACGATGTGACAGTAAAAACATGGGTGTGTAGAAAAGAAAAGTGGACACGGAAAATAGATGATTAAAATGTGAATGGACTGAACAGTTTTGAGTGAGTGAGTGACTGATATCTTTGTTATGCAATACACGTGTTGGTTCGCAGTGAGTTCACATTGCTTTATTTTCAAGATCTGAGGTAAAATATCTATTGTTGCTTTCACTATGGCTATAAAGATAACGCAAAATAATATTCAAACTCACATTAGACACTTTTAACACTGAATAAAGCACATAATCATTGCCTGAGATTATCACTGTCATAGTTTGTATGTTGTTCCTGCCGCAGACAATAAAAACCGTTCCTGAAATAGAATCCCGTGTCGCTTATTGTCACGTGTCGCTGTCGCGGGTGGTTAGGACAAAAACTACATGGAAAAGATACTTTTTATCGCGTCGTGTCTGGTTGGGACACACGGTGTTACAGTTTGATCCCCCCCCCAAAAATCTAAGCATAAAAATATTAATATTCACAAATCTAATAACTGGATCTGCAATTAGGGAAAGTGGAGAGAAGAGATCCAGTCTGGGAATGAGCAGGAACAGTTGATTTGCATGGCAGACATGGAGATCCAGATTTTTTGTTTGTTCATTTGTTTTTAATATTCAAGTTCTTCTGTAGCTATCTAATGCAAACATTAGAGGGATATACAATATATCTACAAGTCTTGGATTTAAAATAATATCTTTAACTGTGTAAACGCACCAATTATCCTACTCCTTCTTATATCTATCAATAAGGAACAATAGTCCATGAAGTGCAAACAATGAGTAATTATTGGGCAGTATAGCTACATTTACATCATTACATTCATGGCCTTTTACACATGCTCTTTATTTTAACCTACAAAAACACGGTGCACATTTCAAAGCCAGAAAACACTTATTTTACTCTGCTCTGATGATAGCTGTATGAGACATATAAAGGCTGACTCTGCCTAGGGCCATGAAGGTCACTAACACACTATGTACCCACTTACTCTTATGTATGCTTAACTATTTATAGCACCATTAATTGCTATATGTTAAAATACGACAGTAAGTCATGTGTAGAAGTTTGTATTAGTGCTCCGTCTGAACAGAGAAAATATATGTTTTATCTAATGGTGTATTTGCAGGGATTGTTTAGGAATATGACAGGCAAATGGCCATGCCAAAAGAAAAGTCAACAGCTGCCCAGATGAGAAGTGCCCTCACAAAATATATGACTCATCTACCAACCTTATGACAGTTGCTTATGCATGAAAGTTAGTGTCTCCAAGATAGAAGAAAAGAACACCATGTTGGATGTTGCTAAAATGATCTGTACTGTTAACCTATCAAAACCTGTAGAAATTATGTCAGATGATTCCATATTGACTCCTGGTCTTCACTGAGCATATTGGTCTCTCTATAGGGTTTAACTATAATTCCACCTACAAATATGCATGCTAATAAGCAACTAGTTAATAATGAATAGTGTTCCCTAATGTAGTGTTACCATATTTTTTAAAAATCTTAACGCTACATACATTTATGCAATCTCAGAAACTTTGTTTTAACAGTTTTAACCAGACTGAAGGTTGAACGATTATAATTTTCTAAAATGTGACCCTGGAGCACAAAACCAGTCTTAAGTCGCTGGGGTATATTTGTAGCAATAGCCAAAAATACATTGCATGGATCAAAATTATCGATTTTTCTTTTATGCCAAAAATCATTAGGCTATTAAGTAAAGATCATGTTCCATGAAGATATTTTGTAAATTTCCTACCGTAAATATATCAAAACTTAATTTTTGATTAGTAATATGCATTGCTAAGAACTTTATTTGGACAACTTTAAAGGCGATTTTCTCAATATTTAGCTTTTTTTGCACCCTCAGATTCCAGATTTTCAAATAGTTGTATCTCCACCAAATATTGTCCTAACAAACCATACATCAACGGAAACCTCATTTATTCAGCTTTCAGATTATGTATAAATCTGAATTTCAAAAAATTGACCCTTATGACTGGTTTTGTGGTCCAGGGTCACAAATGGTACAAGGCGTTGATAATGTCAAAACTGCTGTTACATGTGTAGCTTATACACAAAAGAAAATAAAGTTGAAGCAGACAGTGAATGCAGATGGAAAATGAAGTGAATCATTCAAGAGTGAACCTGCTGAATTGGTCAAATAAAATCTGGTTGTACCAGAAAAACACAAATCTTAGTTTTGACCACAGGTTAAGAAAGGACTGGCTGGCTTACATTTCCCATCACCATTTATGTTGATAAAAGCATTTAAATTAGTAAATAGCAATACTGAATAGTATTATATAGACTAATATAAAGTCCATTTAAATGTATAATGTAATAATATACAGTGCCCTCCACTAATATTGGCGCCCTTGGTAAATGTGAGCAAAGGCGGCTGTGAAAATAAATCTGCATTGTTTATCCTTTTGATCTTTCATTAAAAAAAAAATCACAAAATTCTAACCTGTCATTGAAGTAAAGCAACAGAAAGTTGCTTTATCCTTGCTTTATCCTCGCTTTATCCTTTTGATCTTTCATTCAAAAAAATTCAAAACATTCTAACCTATCATTAAAACAATCAAGAGTGCGGGGAAACTCACATTATGAAATAAATGTTTTTCTCCAATGCATGTTGGCCACAATTATAATTTGTCACCCCTTGAAATTCTTATGAGTAAGTATATTCCCATTCACATTTACATTTTATTTTAGCACACCAGGGTGACTAGGAGCATAAAATTGTCCAGCCATGACTTCCTGTTCCACAGGATTATAAATATGAGGAAAACAAAGGCCAAATTCCCTTAATCATCCATCACAAGAAGTAAAACCAAAGAATATAGTTCTGATGTGCAGAACAAGATGTTGAGCTTCACAAAACAGAAAGAGTTGGCTATAAGAAATATAGCTAAAGCATTGAAAATCCCCATTTTCACCATCAGGGCAATAATTAATAAGTTCCAGTCAACGAAAGATGTTGAAAAATCTTCCTGGAAGAGGACGTGTGTCTATATCGCCCTAATGCACGGTGAGGAGGAGAGTTTGAGTGGCTAAAGACTCTCCAAGGATCTCACAGCTCGGTTTGGTGTAAACAGGGATAAAAAAGTACCCCATGTCCACAGTTTAATATACTGCCAGATCTTTAATGCTGTGTGCCTGCTTTTCTGCTGGAGGTCCTGGACATCTTGTTAAAATGCATGGTATCATGGATTCTAGCAAATACCGACAGATAAAAAAAATCTAAACCTGGCTGTCTCTGCTAGAAATCTTATAATGGGTTGGACAACCTTCCATCAGGACAATGATCCAAAACAAACATTAAAATCAACACAAAAAGGGGTCACTGAGCACAAAATTAAGCTTCTGCCATGGCCGTCCCAGTCCTCCGACCTGAACCCTATAGAAAATGAGTGTGGTGAACTAAAGAGGAGAAGCACCAACATGGAGCTGTGAGTCTGAAGGATCTGGAGAGATTCTGGATGAAGGAATGGTCTCTGATCTCTTGTCAGGTGTTCTCCAAACTCATCAAGCATTATAGGAGAAAACTCAGAGCTGTTATCTTGGGAAAGAGACGTTGCGATAATTGGGTGCCAATAATTATGCCCAACGTGAACTAGAGAAAAACATTTATTATGAGATTTCCTCCCCACTTTCTGTTGCTTTACTTCAATGACAGGTTAGAATTTTGTGATTTTTTTTTTAATGAAAGATCAAAAGGATAAACAATGCAGATTTATTTTCACAGCCGCCTTTGCTCATATTTACCAAGGGCGCCAATATTAGTGGAGGGCACTGTACATTAAGAAGTATAATATGCATTACTATATAACATAAACTCTTTCACTAATATAGACACCTTCTTAAGCTTCTTATTCCTATGCTCTTTACTTATATTATGGAAAAAAAATACTATGGAAGTCAAGGGGGACCATCAGCTCAGCTGTTTGGTTAGCCATATTCTTCACAATGTCTTATTTTGTGTTCACCAGCAGAAATAAATTGATACAAGTTTGGAACAACTTGAGGGTGAGTAAATGATAACAGATTTTTCATTTTTGGGTGAACCATCCTTTTAATGACACTTTGGTATTGCAATGATATATTATTAGAATATATTCTTGAGATCTTTGCTGTTTTGTTATAGTGACCCAGTCAACTCCTGTCATTAGTTTTCTTCTATTTGTAAATAATATTTAACTGTATATGTAACTCAAAGTTACACTTTTTATGTTTTGCAGCTGACATGTTTTTTTTTATTTTGAGTGGGAAACAATTCTGTCAAAAGGAGGAGAAAAGAAAGTTTACTGCCCCACACTATTATCTGCATTTGGCATAGGTTTTCAGTTTTTGGGTGAAAGCATTCAGTCAGACAAAAGGACGTTGCTGATCAGTCATCCAATAATAAGGTAAAACAAGAAATCAGTTAAGTAGAGCATCACACCATAATGTTGTAGTAAGATAAACAACGGAAATATAGCAAACATTTTTCCAATATTATGCATGACCGTATGGTTGATATGTCTATAAAAGTTTTTTTAAAAAGCAACTAAAAAGCACAGGCTGACAATAGGGGGATCTGAAAGGGGATAATGAGAATGTCTATGGGAATATTTTTCTCCTTAAGCATAGGGAAAAAACTTCAAATATAGTTTCTCACACATGCATTCATGCTGTATTTAGTTTTTCTTATTGTAGTGGAAAGGATGTGATTGGGTAATAAAAGGTGGATGCTGCATATCAGATTTCATGCACACCCTGATAATTATGGAAGGCATCTACTAGGCCTAACAAAGGTAAAGATATGTTTATTATTCAAAAAAGCCCATGTAATAGTACTGCACATGTAAAGCAAGATACTTCTTCTAAATAAAAACATATTTGAAATGTTTTTTTTTTTTTTGGTTTCTTTTAATGCAGCAAGTTACAATGTTAAAATAATCGGCTTGTTTAGGCTATGTAGTAGAGCACAACCACAGACCACAAACCACTTCTAATAAGAAAGCATAATTTACTATATAAAATCAGCAGTCAGTGTTGATGGAATAAGATCAGTGAGCAATTATCTATATGCGCCAGAAATTCTGATAGACAAAGACCAACTAATTAATAAGTAAGAATAGAGTCTTAAAATGCTAAATATCGTTAACCGTCATTAGTAACCTCCCCCACTCCAATTCAAAGGTTTTTCGAGCAGGGTTTTGTGCATCTAGCTATGGGCTCATCTTACTCGAATTTGCTCCTTGAAACTACCTTGTTCCCACGTACCGGAATGAGTTTAGACAAAAGGTCTCTGTGCGAGTGTACGCTAGATGAAGGCACAGATGGGGCACCCACGCTAAAATTCAAAAAGGAACAAAAAGAGTTGTAACTGAACGCATCTTAAGTGAAACATTGGCTGACACGCTCCCTAAATAAAGGACCCATGGGGGAACGGGGCGCGTGCAGGGCACGTACTGATTACCAAAACGACATCGCACTCTGACGCTCCCTTGTGTTCAGTTTATCATTCGCTTACAGCGCATAAAACAATAGTGAAAAAAATATATATACAAAAAGGAAACTGCATATCAATAGTTTCAAAAACGTATAAATTTTAAATATGTTGATATGTTTTTCATTCCCGGTTTCTTCCCGCTTTAATCCTTCACTCTTTGGTTTATTTTGCACACGTTCTGCATTAATTTACATAATATTGCTACATCTGTTATAAATTCTGCTACAAGACGCGTCTCAAACAACAGGATATTAATGGTGCTTTTATATTCACCAAAGATGTTCAATAATATAAGGAAGCGACGGTGACACGTCTGCGCGTAAAATAACTGAATCCCTTTTGTTTGACTATTTGTCATTCAAAACCATTGATGTGGCGCATGCAGATGGGTCAACGACGCCAAAAAAAAAGCTTTTAAAAAACAACGAAAGACTAGGAACTTCAGGAAAGATGTGGGGCACAAGTTACAGCATCATTAAAAGGGGGTTGGTAGAGGCCATCTGGAGACCTCTCCATGACGCGTGCTGGACGCGTGGATCCCTTGGGGCTCCGAGGATCCCTAGCTGAAAATATTTGACAACCTATCAATGCTCAAACGTCCTTTTGCGTTTTCATGCAGTTAAACAAAAGTTCAACACAAAGTATACCATACAACAGACATGCGTACGCGAACGTACATGGCTTTTTGCATAGTTCGCGTCCCATATTGCCATAATGTAAAGCAAACAAATTCATGTGGATTCTAAGTGTAAACACAAACGCTATACATTCAAACAGTGTTTGTTGAATGCAGTACTCACATATTGGTTTGCATGGCAGCTTGTCGGTCTGCTGGGGGACGAGTGCACTCAGCCCCTCCCCATAAACGCCCGAGGTACAGGTGTAAAACCCGTCATCATAAGAGGAAAAAAACAACAACTATTGTTCATCACAATTTACAGACAGATGTTACGTTAAAACGGCGTGGCTTGGGAATCTGTCTGTTTAATTTAAATTATAAATGCTTATCCCGCCCTAAACTGGATCCCAAAGCCGTGTCCTTAATGCGTCACCAGCATCCCTCTTCTTTTTAACCCATTAACATGCTTTCTTCTCCAGAATTTATTTGAAAGAATAACAATAAAAAAAATATTGACGTTATGGTATAACATTAAATGATAGATGCAAATTGTTCCAACACAGTTTTCAGACTTTTCTTTTATTCTGTGTTCAGTGGTGAAAAGCAGATGTGGAGAATGGCTATTCAATATGCGTTAATATATCTTAAGTTTGGCCAAATTAGTAAACTAATACATTTAAATACATTTTAGTAGTGTAAAAGCATTCAATTGATAAACTATAGTAGTGTATAAACTGACTGTCAAAAAAAAAAGGGGTTGGAATGAGCAAAAAATATAATATATCGGATATAAACCAATATATGTTGGTTTATAAAAAATTGATTTAGAGAGGAGTATAATTTATACACGCTACAGACGCGTCGTTTTGCTCTTCAGTCTAAAGTTATTTGAGCAGAGGAGTTGTCTGAGGCGTGGGGGCGTTTCCATGACGCGCCGGACAGGAATATAAACCCTGCGCGCAACCTCAGATCTGCACAAACGACCTCTACCCACAGCAAGCTCAACATGACTCCTAACGCCACTGCTGTATCTGCTCTGACTTATGCGCCCCGCACCGTGGCCATGAGAAAAGAAGCAAACGAACTGAGAAGAACTTTAAAACCCTTACTGGAAAAGAAACGACGAGCGCGCATCAACGAGAGCCTCAGTCGATTAAAAGCGCTCATTCTCCCTCTCACAGGCAAAGATGTAAGTTCTTTTCATAGAATAAACACGCTGTTTTGGATAGTCTGTATGAAGTGCTCGTGCGTTTTACGTTTGTTCTTACCGTTGCCTGTTCTTCATTTCAGAATCGCCGTTACTCTAAACTGGAGAAAGCTGATATTTTGGAGATGACCGTCAGATTCCTGACTGATATTCAATCCATTCCGTCTAAAGGTCCGTTTTCTTCGGATACCTTTTCCATTTCATCTCATATTATGGTCGTCTGATGTAAAATAGCTTCGAAGCAAACTAAGTTGTATATATATTTCTGTTTACAGATAGCGCCGATAGCTTTAAAGCGGGGTATGCAGCTTGGCTCCAGCGCGTTCCAGCGCGCCTTCCGCAAACCGGACTCGACGCAGAAACCCGCAATCGCATCAACGAGTTAATCGAGCATTCAGTGATGCCCAAGACCCCAGCCTGCCAGAACTGCTGTGCACAGAGCTCCAAAATGATGACACAAATCCAACAAAGACTCCTGAATTTGAAATCTAGCAGCTCAAGAATCGTAACCCCGGAAAAAAGCGACGCTGCGATTCCCAGTCGACCTCAGCCTGTGCCACTGATCACCGATGCCAAAGTCTGGAGGCCTTGGTAGACCTACCGTACAATTGACTGCTGTTATGATCTTTTTAATGCAAGCCTTTTAGAATTGTATATATTTGCAAACTGCGTAGTCTCTTGCAGTTTTTTTTTTAATTTGATGAATAGGTGTCATCAAATCTCATGTGAGTATTGTATACTTGGTTTTCCAATCCAGTGTACTGTATAGTAATGACACAGACCCGTTCAAATCGTTTAGTTTTCATAAAGATCCTGCGCGTAACCTGTACATAACGTGGTTAGATTTATGCCCTTCTGCGGGTTAAATCGTCGGTGGCTCTTGAAAACGCCTAAGTAAAACCCCAAGGGTTGATAATTGTAAGATATTTGCACTTCATACTTTAGTATTCTGGGTTGGTGCAGATGATTTAAATGTAAGCACTCTGTGTTGTTGTTCACTGAAATCTCTATTTTAGGAGAGGTGCTATTTATTTCCCTGTTTATACATTTATGTGTTGTGCTACTACATTTATGTTGATACACTTATGTGTTATGCTACTTTTTATAATAAAAGTTGTAGGCTACCCAGCTGGTTTCCTTGCATTATTCTCTCTGAACAAATGAAAAGAACACAGCTAGCGCGCATATACACAATGGAGAAACGCGGGCTTACTATCAAAACATAACAATGACATGGATTTGGGCGCGCAAATGAATACAGATGTGTGGTAGCGTGCTGATGCTCTATAGGCCTATAATCACAGGGCATGCAAGTGAATATACCCTTACGAAAATCAACCATGTTTTTTTGGCGTATTGATTACTATTTGTATAACCACAATTTAACTACAAATACCATGGTTAAACTATGGTTAGTGTAGCAAAACCATGGTTCATTTGTGGTTGCAATGGTATAACTACAGTAACCATGTTTTTTAGTTGGCCTATACATTGAATGCAGCGTCAGGTAGGCTACGTTGGGGGAAAAGCGTATGCCAAATAAATAAATGCAAACATAATCACTGACAGCGTCCTCTTTATTCATGCTAAAGGTGAACGCTTGCAGGAAAACCTGGTCTCTGCTGCCACCTTTCGGTGGTTTAGTTACAGCGTGAATTGAACGAGTGAAGTGTGTAGATAATGTGTAACCAATTTCAGCGATTGATTAACATGTTGGTAAAACTAACGAATAAAGTCTACAAAGTAGAAACGGCGTTTGTTGTAGTTTTATTTATTTATTCGTTTTAAATAATCCAGTTCTTTGTTTTACAGAAAAGCAGTGAAGGGTCAGTTTGTGGCTATCGCCATGTGTGTAACCTACTTCTGTTAATAAACGGAAGTGAACTATCTACACAGCTTATATGAATCGATAACCGATTCACGGCCGTACTTTGTCTTCAATGCTCCACAGCAGAATCGGTGTATGATTTTCACCACGTCTTTTACCACAGTACTGGAAGTAGTCTAGCCAAACCCTGCGAACCTGCAGCTCCGCCTGACTCAGTCCATTTCATAACGACACGCGGATTTGGGTTAAAGACGAGCCTCGACGCAAGATCACGATGTCTATTTTTAATGCACAAGCGACAGCATCCATCCAGATATGCAGGTAAGACCCTCTTATGTAGCGCTGACCTTTTTAACGTCTCAATCAATGGATCTCAGTTTCCGCCCGATATGAAGCGGCCCTATAATCCGAAGACTGCTGCCTCCACAAATAGAATAAGATCCGGACATCACCACGTTTCACAAAGAACGAAATGCACGGAGACGTTACTTTTGGTCATTTCAAATGACTTAGAATGAGGTTGGGATGCTGGTGCATTTTTCTTCTTCGCACGCGGTCACATCGTATGTCGTATGTGATGACCTCAACAGTGATGCTGATGCAGAGCATTGACAGGAACGCAAGGTTATATACAGCAGGTCGTCAGGGCATAATTTACATAATTCAAGGCTTAAATAGCGTATATTAGATTCGGTTATGATAGTTTAGAGAAGAGGATCCTGTAATAACGGGGTGAATAAAAAGTAGAAAATGAAACCGAAATGGCTGTCTGTGTGATATTTTCTTAGCATGAATTTTTGCGCTCATTTGTTAATCGCTTTGTTTCAGGATTAAATGTTGGTTAAAACAGCATGGCTAGCGCAGAATGCTCTTGTTTTTCAATGCTCAAGCGACTGCCCTCTTGTGCTTGTAAGTGGCAAAGCCTGCGTACGCGAGTTAACCACGTGAACATTTCGTGAGACTTTTGTCTGTGTTTGTTCTTGTCGGTGTGTTTGCGTAAATCTGCAGGTCTGACTTACATGTTACTAGCTAATAATGGCGCTGAGACAGAAGCAGCTCCTCCAGCATATGTGGAAACAAAACTGGGTGGCCAGAGCGCGGAACACTACATCGAGGTCTGTTCTCCTGCTGGAAACATTCTGATGCTAAACAGTCGTTTAATTGAGTTTATTCCGGTGACTGGTACCTGATTTGCAAATGAAAATCCGCTATGGTAACCTCTACAACATAACTTGATCTGCTGCTAATACCGAGCGACTGTGATTGGTCCGTCCCGATCAGCGCTGAGAAAAGAAACAGCTTTCACGTGACAACACTAACTTTGTGCTTCAGCAAGCATAGGTATGGGCAATAACAACAAGAGACTTTAATAGTTATTTAATTAGTACGTTTTACAAAATACAGCTGTACAGAGATTTAGACAAGACGATTGTTTTTAACTTGTACCAACCAGTAGGCCTTTTTAACGTTTCAGGACACCACCACATCCAACTCTAATAGTTGTCTAGTTGCATTCTTGTAAACTGACAGACGTCGGCTCTGTTAAATCACTACCACAACTCTTTTTCCATATGCTTATGTGTTGAAAGAAAAAAAAAACTATATCTGATGTTATGATGTAGGATTTCAAATAAATACAATAAATATAAGCAAAAGATTTTGGCCTCAGCTGTTCATCACTTGATTGGAAGTGATATTTATTTAAATCAAAGTGGGTCTTTTGTGCTCCATGTCTGTTCCATTGTGGAGTGAATCAAGAATATATTGGGATAGCTTACATCTAACCCCAAAATCAAAACTTAATGTTATTATTTTACCTAAAGAAATTGAAGCCAGATTGTGTTTTTCCCCCTTTGAATTGTGACTTTATTTTCAAGAATTTTCTTAGAAAAGCTGAACTCATTTGAGTAACAGGTTTTAGACTATTAGTTCTGTTCATTTTAGTGAACATTCTGTGTGTTCTAGAGCCTTACATATTCAAGGCAAAACTGTGTGGACTGAAGGCCTGCAGAATTTGAATGAAAGTGGGTGGAGTCTGAGTCAGTGAAACACTCACACTAGTGGTGAAGAGGATGAGGTCATAAGTGATGCGTGTGCAGTGATGGAGGAAATGACTGAAACACTGTCACTGTGGCGGATGCACTCACTGTTGTGTTGGGAACTTCTCAAGTCTCTGTCGTCTAACTTTTAAGGAGTCATGGCGTCTCATGAGCTCAGCAGGTAGAGTTGTCTAACGAACACATGTTATCGTACTCTTTTAGACAGACTCTTAATTTCATACTTTTCATTCATAGACACATATTGTTCCAAACTTTTAGATTTGTGTGTTTGTAACATTGTGTTTGACATTGCTTTGTATGTTCAAGAAAATACTTCAGCGAATTAATAGTTTGTTGTTTCATGGTGGTTTTAGGAGAAGTTTGTTATGACTTGGCTGTTCAAAATTTCTCACCAAACTGGTTGTGTATGTAATCATGTCTGTTTTCATGTATGATACCATTAGACAAAAAAGCTGAGTGATACAAACAGCAAAAAATTCCAGTACTGCTAGAATACTCTGGAAACGCCGCTCTCAGCCAATCGAATTTAAGGACATGAACTAATATAAATATAATTACTGGCTATAGTCATTCTTATGGTCAAGTCAACTGACATTATATGGATCTTGTGTCAGTGTGACCTATGTATATGAAATTAACGCGATAGTATAGTTTGGTCCCACTTTATATTAGATGGCTTTAATCACTATATGTACTTACATACAGAAAAAAATAGATACAATGTAGGGCTGGACAACAATTCAATATCAATATGTATCGCGATATAATTTTTTTCAATAACGGTGATATGATTTTTAAACACATTTCCGATATTTTGATATACATTACCAGTGTTTCCCATACATTGATTTATTTGTGCCGTTTGACTTCGTTGAATAAATCGTGATATCAATTTTGGCCATATCGTCCAGCCCTAATACAGTGTATTTATTGTTTCCATATTGTATAGCAAAACATGGTAACACTTTATTTTACACTTATTATTATTATTTATATTATTTATTTTACACACCATTTCCCTGTTTAATACTGTAAAGCTGCTTTGACACAATCTGCATTGTAAAAAGCGCTATATAAATAATGGTGACTTTATTGACTAGGCCTATTTTAAGGTGTCTTTGTTACACATGACATGTACTTACTATTATAATAACAATAAATTAAGCATAATTACATGCACGTATATGTAACCCTAATCCTAACCTAACCAAGTAGTAAGTACATGTAGTTAATTAATATTACTCAGTAGTTAAACGTGTAATTACATTGTAACAAGGACACCTTTAACTAAAGTGTAACCCAAAACACATTTGCTGTTATTGAGGTGGGATACGGGTGGTTAAGGACAGGTTTGGTGGTATGGGTAGGTTTAAGGGTGGGTTAAGGTGTAAGGGATGGGTCAACAGTGCAATTATAAATGTAATTACAGAAATTAATTACAGATGTAAACATGCAAGTATTGTTTTAGTTTATTTAGGTTTTTAGTTTTTTTTTTCTTTTTAAAGAAGTACAATGTAAAAATATTTATGTACACAATAAGTGCATTGTATCAATTTAAATGTGAGAGGATTTTTTTTTGATGATTTGTGAGCACTTCTTAGTCTTTTAACATAGGTGAGAAAGATCAATTAAAAACATATACTTAGGGATTTAAAATATACAAAATGTCGGTCTATATGGCCAATACTGAATATGGTTATAAATACACTATATCATGCATCCCTATAAAACCTGGTGATTATATGCAAAGTTTTTTTTCTTTAATATTTCAGGATCATGCGTCCTGATGATGCCAATATTGTTGGCAATGTTCATGGCGGGACTATCCTGAAGATGATTGAGGAAGCGGGATGCATCATTGGCACACGCCACTGCAATACCCAAAACGGGGTGAGTTTTAGTCTTACGGTCCGGAAACCAAGGCGTTTAACACTGGAACCACCGTCGTTTTTTATATATAAAGTGTGTTGTGTTTTTCTAGAACAGATTAACATGATAAAGATGTAACTGAACATTCTGATAGATTTGATAAGTGATAGATGAAACTCACCTAACCTGTCAAAAACTGAACTGTTATATTTTACTGCTAAACATGAAGGGAAAAAAATAAACATGGGCATTTTAAGTCCATTTTCATTTGCTTTTTTTTTAC